TACTAGTAGCTTCTTGTTACTACTAGCGTGGCACTTGTTACTAGTAGTTTCTTGTTACTACTAATAAGGCACCTGTTACTACTAGCGTGGCACTTGTTACTAGTAGTTTCTTGTTACTACTAATAAGGCACTTGTTACTAGAAGCTTCTTGTTACTAGTTGTCAATCATGTCCTGACTTGGGGAACAGAATGGAACGACTGTGAAAACGCTGCATGTTTTGTCGGATGCGGGGCCTCTCTCCAAGCGGCAGTCTGACACATGTGGACCTGAGACGAGCGAGTACAGCCGAAAATGGGACCTGAACTCAGAAAATCTGTAGAGGTAAGAAGCTAGTAGTAACAAGTGCATCGCTACTAGTAACAGGTGCCTTACTAGTAGTAACAAGAAGCTACTAGAAACAAGTGCCTTACTACTAGTAACAATAAGAATTTAATTAGAATTATAACTAAATTAAATTAATAGCAAACATTGTTACTACTAGCAAGGCACTTGTTACTACTAGCGAGGCACTTGTTCCTAGTAGAAATGGGACCTGAACTCAGAAAATCTGTGTGAAATCACTACTAGTAAGGCACTTGTTCCTAGTAGCTTCTTGTTACTACTAGTAAGGCACCTGTTACTACTAGCGTGGCACTTGTTACTACTAGCGAAAATCACAAACATAACTCACAAAGACTCAGTAATCAGTGTGTGGAATCGGTACCAAGACTTCTGAGAGAGATTTTGAACATTGGCTCTTCGGTGTAAGGAGTCACCGTCTACATGCCAAAATCTGTGTCTTTCTTTCTACACAAATGCGTTTTCCTTTAAAGCTACTAGGGGCTCCTGGCCTTTCTACTAGGAGCAAGAAGATACTAGTAACAAAAAGCATCGCTACTAGGAGCAAGAAGCTACCAGGGGATCCGCGAAAAAACAGGAAAGTCACCGCCGATCAGCTGATGAATGAGCTGATGTGTGTCTTTACAAAGCTGCAGGTCAAGGGGCCGAAGGTGTACGAAGGACCAAGGCTTCAGCCTCTTCGTATCCTTAAAGGGCTAAAACCGAATTCCCCAGTGGATTACGGGCACATGCTGGCAAATGGATCTTTGAACTTGGTTTGTCTTTGGACGCTACTAGGGGCTCCTGGCATCGCTACTGGGAGCTTTCTTACTACTAGGAACAAACAAGAAGCCACTAGTAACAAAGGGAGTTGATTGGATTGCAATTTGGTTGCCATCAAACACTGCGTAGGACATTGGTTGCACCTCACCAGAAAATCAACCGACATTTTAGTCTCATCCCACCAAGGCCACCAACAAAAAGGAAAGGAATCTTATCCCTGTAAATCACTGCGGTCTACCGTGCAAAACAGTTGACAGGATCCATGCCAACTCTCTCGGCTTACTCTTCGCGTTTCGCTTGAACAATTTGTTTGGCAACCAACCCGCCAGCCCCGAACTGGCAAATCACTGTTGACTGCTAGCTGCCACATGTTCTTCCTACTCAGTGCTTGCGCACGTTCACCAAACTCAAACCTTCCACAAACCTTAGTTCAACAGCGAGGTTCTTGGGGACATTTGGAAAAACACAGGCTCTTTTACCTGCTTGTTCTTCGCCTCCTTCTTCTACGATTCTTCATTGAAATGCGAACAAAAGAAGAATCCTTCTCTGAAACCAATTCACACGGGGGGCTGTTTGTGAAGGATGGATGGCCAAACTGAGTTTCAACCGATCATTTTTCTACGTACACATATGTCATACGATTGTATACTGTATACAACTGTATACGGTTGTAATTCTATCTGAAACGTTTCCACATGATCAGAAACACAGTGTCCACGGCCACCATCAGCTCCGAGCATCGACCCATCCCTTTGAGGCACCTGGACAAATGCGAAAAAGCTCCTAGTAGCGTTCTCGGTCCTAGTAGCGATGCCCTTTGCTACTAGTAGCAAGAATGCTCGTAGTAGCCAAGCAACCAAGTTTTGGCTCCCAGTAGCCTCCCTGTTCCTAGTAGCGATGCCAGGAGCCCCTAGTAGCTTCTTGCACCTAGTAGTAAGGCACTTGTTTCTAATAGCAAACATTGTTACTACTAGTAAGGCACCTGTTACTAGTAGCGATGCACTTGTTCCTAGTAGCTTCTTGCACCTGGACAAATTCTTCAACATCGTCTGCGTCAAGAAATGCTCACGGCCCAGGCGGCGTTCGCACGCTCGCAGCTGGGGTTGCAATAGCTTTTCGGCCTCGCGCAAGCCTTGGAGCAAGATCTTCCCCATAGTTTGCTTCATTATTTCGATCTTTTCTGTTTTCCTGTAGACCATAGAGCTTTTCCTTTTTCCTTGTTCTTCGTTGCTTTGGACGTACCTACCCCTCACTGTTGCGAGCGACGGTCATCAACTGATCGTTTCCACTGCTGGCTTCCCAGCTCATCGCCTTTGTCGGTCCAAAATACACATGCAAAACGCCCTACTCATTCTTGCGCACCTGCTCTTTTTTTGACATGTTTCGGCTGTGTAATGGTTGTCCCTTGCCTGTCTTCTGTTAGGTGCTATCGTCGTATTGCATTCCTTGATCAAAGGTTTGTGCCAAAGCACATTCTCTACTGTTTCTTGATCTTTAGGTTCAAGGTGGGGAGTGAGAGTCTTGCCTAGTCTACTCCAATTCTTTGGAACATGGCTGGTGTTGCAGCCAAAGTGATCTGCCGACCCCTTTGGTTGTGGAGCGGAGCCAGCGTGATTTCTGATACGTACTTCTGAAAAGGACACCAGTATTGGTATCCCGCACACAATTTCCGCATTTATCATCTTCAAACCATCAATTCTTGAACCTATCGCCCTCTGTTCTTTCAGCTTTGTTTTTTTGTGGGTGCAGGAGTCAAAGGCCCTTTGTGCAACCGATGCCCAATCACAGCTTTTCCTAGAGGGAGTGAACAACTTCAACGGCTAAACTTCGATCAATTAGGTGAAAAGGAACAGCAGTTCTGCACGTTAGATTGCTTGGCAAGAATTGTAGACGTGTCCCAAGTCTGACTTGTCAAACATGCTCAACATTCCCTCAACCAAAAACTACCTTTAATCTTGTGGCATTGGCAGATTTTGGAACTATGATTCCGTTGGAGAGCCGAACTTTATGGGTTGGGTTGAAAGAACAAAACAAATGAAGAACTCAAAACACACATCAGCATTGCCAGTCGTGAAGGTCCAATTTGTTGATTGGATTGGGAAGTTCGACCTGCCTACTCAACATGCTCAATCCAACATGACACATGACCTAGAGATGTTCTACTGGGCCCCGTCCATTTTCCACGTCAACAGTGAGCGGACACATACAGGTCGCACGCAGTATTTTAAACTTGAATACATGGGTAAGAACAAAAGGGACACCATGGTCACACAATGTCCAAAGGGGAAACAAAGCACAAACGACCACAGAAACAGAAAATGACAGAACGCATGCTTGAGTATTCATTTCAAGAGTTCAAACACATGGTCGATATGATATATGGGACATCTCCCGAAACACGAAACTTTAACCTTTGCTCTCTTGTGAGACAAACCTTTCACCGCTGAGAAATGACTGGGGCCAATACATTGGCAACATTCCATCAGCAAACTGTCCAAGGAACGTCCCATGCGCCGCCAGCAGGAGCCCAGGTTGCATGTGGAGGTCAATTGCTCCAGCTGTGAATAGCCGCGAGCACCGCGAGCGCCCACGGCAACGGCACGGCGGTAAAGAAGTTCCGCCTGGTCCAAACGGCCCATGGAGTCCAAAGAAAGCGCCAAGCAATTCAACGACTCCAAGGTGTCACCTTCGAAGCGTGAGATGGCCCACTTGTAGCTTCTAGCTCCTAGTACGCCCAGGAGCCCCGTTTGTAGCTTCTTGTTACTAGTTTCTCCTTTTCTTTCCTTTTCTTGGAAGGAGCAACAACAACGGGTGCCTTTCGATGTTTTGCAAACGCCAACCAATAATTACACATTGAAGGTGATGCTGGGGTGGTGTTTTGGTGGCTTGGGTGTGAGGTGTTTATTGGGTGTGAGGGAAAGTTTCCCCAAAAGTTTAGGAACCAAATGAATACTGCGAGCGCTTCTTCAAGGAAGCTCCCCCCCACCTGAGGAAGACGTGTGAGCTGTCCTGCGTGTAGTAGGTAGTAGCTTCTTTAGTCTACTAGTAGGCTAGCCGCTACTTAATTAAGTAGCCACCTACTTAATCAAGTAAGGGAGGAGCATAGGTCGGCCAACAAAAAAGACCTGTTTGCTTGGGCAGTCTGAGATTGAATATGTAGTCCTGACACATAGGAGAAAGTGGGAGAAAGTGCAAGTCAATCAGTTCTCGAACCGCTCGGAACAACACCGAGCAAACCTTTATATGTTCAAGCTCTCCAGAAAAGAGGGAAGGCGCAAGACCTAAACCACTTCTCAGAACATCCCACTTGCACAGGTCATCTCTACCTCTGACATAAAGTTAAGTTTCCCTAAAAGTCTAGGAACCAATTTACTAGTGCGGGAGCTATCCTGCGTCCAGTTATATACTAGAAGCTTACCTCTCTCTTACTTGATTGAGTAGGGGCGCATCTCAAAACACGATGAAAGGAGCCCCTAGTAGCTTCTTGCTCCTAGTAGCGATGCCAGGAGCCCCTAGGAGCGAGCAAACAAACAAGAACATATGCACTGCCCCCCCTGCACCCAACTGCCAGGCTCGTCACGATGGTCTTCACCCAATGTGAACTCACGTGCATCCAAGGCCTCTTGGAGGTGTTCCAAAGCCTCCTGATACGGGACGTTTATGCAGTTACTGAAAGTTACCTGCACGGACCTTTGGTTGCATCGTGTTCCCATTGGAAACCAAGTGCTTCCAAACATCTGTAGGTCTTGAACTTCCAAGACATTGCTTGAACAAGAATGATACGACTTTCGAGAACGTTGTTTCCAAGAGGCTATATGGGCCTTCGCCAAAACTACGCTTTTCTTCGGTGGTAAGTACTCTTCAGTAGCAAGAACTATAGCTTGCTGTTCTTCGTTTTAGGGTCTCAAATGGCACAACAACGCAGGGCCACTACTAAAACAACATCCTATTACACAAAAAACAATCCTTGCTGTGAGTGAAGCTAAATATTGATCCTTTTAGCTGGCTATGGGTTGGCAATCTAGGCTTTGGCATGTGGAGTATGGTTCTTTGGGTTGGCAACGAAGGTTCGTCTTGAAGGGCATCATTTCAGTTGAAACAATCACAGGGCCCGTACAGTGAAATTGAAGGTTCCAGGCAGCACGTCTGAAGCATGGATCATGGGTCTGAATGAAGCTCTTTGCACCTTTACGTTGATCCATCAAGACATGCAAGATCCAAGGGCATCGCTACTAGAAACAAGGTTCGCTACTAGGGGCTCCTGGCATCGCTACTAGGAACAATGTTCGCTACTAGGGGCTCCTGGCCGTACTACTAGGAGCAATGTTCGCTACTAGGAGCAAGAGGACGCCAGTGGGTGGTTGGAGCACTGCGCAACTTGCAAACGCGATCGTTGCTCCTCGTGCTTTCCTCGCTCCAGCAGTGCTCGGCCCAGTCGCGCTTTCGCGTCAGTCCAGACCTCAGCATCCTGCGCCTCTGCTACCCGGTGGCGGAGCACCTGCGGTGCAATGTCCTTATCTTTGCAATCCGAGGAAACACACTAACACACCTGTTTGACCAGGACACACGCTTAGATTTTAAATATTTCAACATCTTGAAGCGTGTTTCTGGTCAAGCCTGATTAGTTATACCAATATCCATGGAATCGACAAATTCCCACCTCCATGAGTCGAGCCTGCGCCGCGTGTGCGCAGCTCTCATCCACGTGGAGCACCACACCACAGGCTTCAGCTTCGTTGGTGCGAGTCTGGGACAGATCATAAGCATTCTCTGCGTCGATCAGCATGGGGATGCAGAACCTTAGTGGGGGTTCTCGTCTCCATCCTCAACGGCCACAAGTTTTTCAAAGAACACATGCGCAAAGGGCTGACCAAAGATCCAAAGAACCCAAGCCTTCTTGACAAATCATCTTTCATGAAGGCTTCACTTCGAGCAGAGAGGTCGCCCCGCATCACATTCCGAAAGTTGTTGTCCTAGATTTGGTCTGGATGGACGGGAAGGAAATCACAACGTTCGTTATGGATTCCCTGAATATGGGGCTTCCAGTTCCGGGTCAAAGACATAGGTCAAACACACATGTTCTCTTTTGCCCTTGCCTGAAACAAAACATCTTCCAGGACCTCCCAACAGGAGTTTTTTTGATGCATGGTTCTGGATTTCTGGTCCAACAAAAAACGCCTCTTGGACGGTCCAAGTTTTGAATCAAAAGAAATCAGTTGTCTAGTAGGTTGGAGGCCATTGCTATTAGTAACTTAACAAAAAAACAACATATATTTTTTGAAGTAAATTCAATCAGTTGTCTAAGAGTTCGTCTCTGTCTTTCCACTCATCTGGCGGCTTTGGCAGGCTATACACACCGCGGCCCCACCAGGCTTTGGCGCCTGGACCATTTTTCAGTGCTTCCCAGATCTCGGTCGGCTCTCTCAAAGAGGTGAGGTTCCGAAAGTGATCTGGGTGACCTGTCAGTTGGCGAAACGGCGGCAAAACACTGAAATATTAACAGTGAATAATTGAAGGGTAGGAAAACCAATGGTTCCAAATATTTGGCCCTGTGGTTCTTCACATGGTTCCCGTCCACTTACATGTGGGACTAGCGGTGAACTGAGTGAAGATGCGCATCTCAAAACTGTGTTCTGAATGGGTCCAGTCAAAGGCATAGTTGTCTCAAGAGTTGTCCACCTGTTGAGATGCCAAACCAACGCCTACAATCTACAAGGGATCACCAAAGCGATTGGCAGTTCTTCCCCTGTGAATTCTGCGTTAATTTTACTACAGAAAAACTTGTTGAGAAGGAAAACGACAAAGGCAACCGGGTTGGGCGTCTTAGATGGATACTTTTCCTCAGGTCTGATTTTCCCATTCCAAAATCAACCTTTCAACACTTTGATCGTCTATTCCGCAACCCATCCATGCGCCATATCATTAATCAAAAATCCGTCTGTCATGGCCCACCAACCAGCCCAAGCAAGGTCAAAACAAAGGGCTGGTGTAGTGGAAGTAGACCTTTGGACTCTGCTTGGAGGACAGGTGAAGAGCATCTTTCCAGATAACAATGCCGGTTGGCCGATGAAACCACGCGTGGTCGAACTCACAGCATATCTCATAGTCAGGAGATCGGAAGAGCCCACCATGGCTGTACCTTATGCTTGGCCATTGAGTTGAACAGTTGAACAACACTGCTTGGCCATTTGAATGGAGTATCCCCAAAACTATTAAGTTGGAGACCATTGCTTCTAGGTCGGAGGCCATCGCTGGTAGGTTGGAGGCCAAAGCCATGTGGTCAAGGACACAAATCGTCCTACCGACTATGGACCATCTAAATTAAGCCTGTTTTGGACCGTTTTTCAAAGTCGTCAAACAAAGAATCTTAGAGGTGTTTGGGCACAAGCAAGGACGCTACTAGTAGCTCCTGGCCATACTACTAGTAACAAGACGCTACTAGTAACAAGAGCATCGCTAATAGTAGCTTCTTGCTACTAAAACAATGATGCCCGAAACGGCCCAACATGGACTCAAGTTGGGCCTAGCGTAGGTCTCGCGCGCAAATCGGCAAATCAGAGTCGTGGCTCACAAAGATCTCCAACCCTTTGTGGGTGCCAAATTGATCAAGTTGTCGTTACAAGTATCTCAAGCCAACAAAATGGCCATGCAATTTGCAATCGTATATCCTAGTAGGAACAAGTAGCTACTAGGAGCAAGAACGCTACTAGGGGCTCCTGGCCTTGCTACTAGGAACAAGAAGCTATTAGAAACAAGAATTCAATAGAATTAGTAGAATTAGGCGCTCCTTAGCACGAAGCACATGGAATAGATCTCATGTAGGGCGTTGTAGGATAGGTCAAGCCCACCGAATTCTCCAAGGGCTTTTCAGCATGACTGGTTGGGCATCAATTTTTTCGTTCGGGACAGTGGTTCCAAGTGGACACCCTGTTGAACTGCAAGTTCCCAACGAACAGCTGGGCAGCAAGGTCTCAAAGTACTCCTGAAGACGATCAGTTTCCATGGCGCAACCAATCAAGGAACGAATCAGCCAACGAACGGTTCGATTTGTCTTGGAACATCATGTTGCTGCTGACAAGGATCATTTTGTCATAGATAATATGCCTGGTCTGTCTGTGTGCGTCAAGCCCCAAATTTCATGTGATGGATTTTCATGGTCTAAAACAAGAGAAGCGGCGTGTGGAGGCCTACAGTTTTTCTTTGCCACGTAGGATCCAAGTTTCCTTTTTCCTGCCAAGTTGGAGGTCATCGCTTCTAGGGTGGAGGCCATTGCTCTTAGGTTGGAGCCCATCGCAAGTAGGTTTCTTTCTGCCGAGTTGTTCCAGCAAAGTTTTCATGGCGCATGATGTGATCTCTTCATTGTCCGATGATACTTCTCGGCTGCGCTGGCGGATTGTCATCGAGCCCTGCACCGCTGGCGTGCCCCTCCACATGAAAAGAAGCCTGTCGCAACCTTATAGGAAACTCTTGGGGGTTGGAGGCCATCGCTACTAGGAGCAAGGACGCTATTAGGTGGAGGCCATCGCTATTAGGTTGGAGGCCGTCGCTTCTAGGAGCAAGGACACTACTAGTAGCTATTTGCTACTACCGGTCTACGGCGCCAAACATTGAGATGATAGACCCTGAGCCTTAGGGCGTACAGCTCAAAATCACAGTCTTGGATCAAATGGCCTCGTGAACAGTGAATGGCGACAATTCTGAAAACGACTGGTTTGCCATTGTGAAGCCAGTTGCGATGACAACCTTGGGCTGTGATACTCCCGGACTCCCAGTTGCGCATTAATTAGACTTGCCATCGACGCCGGCTTCTGCGACAAAGAGGTCATCTTGGTAGACATACTACGTCCTACCCCGAATTCTACGAGATGAAGTGCAATTTGCCTTGGAGCATCAAGAGCTCCTTGCTACAAACAAGGATGGCGACATGATCCAAAATGATTGTGGCTTGTTCTTAATGCATTCCACTTCGGATGATTCAGCGCAGAATCAAACTAAGTTGATAAGCATTGCTGAAACCTATATTTATTGGTTCTTGTTTCACTGGGTTTCACTTATCAAGCCTTCCGTCAGATCCGCACACCGCTCAAATTGGTTTCTCTAGACGGGAGCAGAGATGGACGCGGCTTTCGAAGAGCGAAGATGAAAAGAGCGTTCGCTTCTTGTGAAACTTTGACGAAGCTTTCGATTCTCTCTTTCAACACATGCACGGATTCTCGAAAGGGTCTTGTTTAGGTCCAAATATGGGCTTCAACTGAGATCAACAGCTTCAATAGACTGCCATGTCCATTGCCTTTCACATCTTATTCGCTGCCATTTGCTTCGTCGCAATTGGACACTGCTTTGTCCCGTCTTTGTGCGGGCTTAAGTGTCGTGAAACCCGGGACCCAGTGAGTATTGATTGTATATTTGCTGGCAATGTATATTGTACCATCGTGGGGCTCAGAGTTGGAACGGGGAAGTGATATCCTGCAGGATCAAGGGACATCTACATCGCAGGATGAACACCATGATCACGCATAGCAAGATCAACAGGATTCGTTTATCCATTTCACCAACTGCTTGAGCCTCTCAGCACACAGGTTGCGTCTGCACCTGTTTGCTGAACAAATCACCCATGTGTCGATGATCTCTCCATACCAGGCATTTGATTCGGATGTGCAAAAAGGCTTGTAGAGACAAATCAGACTATCGAGCAAAAAACATCTCACTCCCAGATCTTGTTTGGAGAACTCCTTCAAATTAAGCACATTTTTGATATCGCCTTCCCACGAGGTGCTTGATCACTCCAATTTAGTTCTAAACCGTGTCGCCAATCCTTTCACTCGGATTCCAGATTCACCTATGCGAAAGCTGGTGCATATCATATATATATATGGCACCCCCCGCCCCCACCACCTACCTCTTCTATGAAAACACTATGTTTTCCAATGTTTCGTGCTGTTCTACCTGCTGACTATTGAAGTGTTTTGTGATTGTTTTTCCTTACAACATACCAAAACTGCTTTGAATGTATGCAGAATTTACCTTTTAACGGTTTTTGTTTTACCTTTTACTCTTCCAATTCTGTGAAGTACACAAAAAGGCATTTTGGTTTTTCGAGAAAACACACAAACAATTATCAGAAACTCTTGGCTGGACCCCCCTCCTTCCCCAAGACTTCCTCAGAATCGTTTTGTTCGGTGTTTTTGGTTTTGAATGGTTTTTTACAAAAGCGAATTTAGCACCAATATATGTTCCATTAAACGGCAAATGTTTGCTTTATGTTTTATTCTTTTGCAATAGAATCGTTGAAACATATTTTATTTTTTCGCAAACATACTTAATTGTTTTTGATTCAGTTTTACTTAAATTTAGAATCTATATTTGTTTTGTGTTACTCTTAAATGGCTCAAGTCATTGTTATGTATGCAGAATTTGTTTCATTCATTAAAATGTGTTTTTTGACATAAGTTTTCAATTTGCTTTTGGCAAGTTTAGCATAGTTTTATTTAGTATTGAATGACAAATAGACGTGCTATATTTTTATGATCTTTTTTGATTTCGCAATTAAATACAGTTGTAATTGCTGTTTAAATAGATTCAGCTTGTTTGCTTTCAATTCTAGTTAACTTCTTTCAGTTCATATGCATATACTTTGGAGCTGATGCTTTATTAAATAGATTTTGTTTGTTTTGTTGACATTAATTTGCATTTGCTTTTGGGAAACATTATTATTGATTAACTATATATATATGGTGCTGTTTTTTTAATCGCAATTCAATTTAACTTCTGTTTTTGTTCCCTTTCCGATTTTTGTTTAAGCTAAATACAAAAATTCTATATGTTTTAATTTCTTCTCAAAACATGTTAATATATTTTCAATTCGGTTTATTTGATCAAATGTCACTTGTTACTTCTAATTTGTATCCTTAATTTTGAAAGTGTATTCAGTTCATACTTGAAAAACGGATGTTTAATAAAACACACACACATATATATATATATATATTGTCTTTTGTTGATGAGACCGTTTTCGTATAGTTTCCCTGAAGCATCTTTGATGGAAGGTCCTGGAAGGTTTTAGAGAGGAAGCCTATCTTGATAAGGGGTGTTGATGGGCAGTTCGACTTTTTAAAAGATCCGAAAGAAACGCTTTTGACATGAAAGCCTTTATCTAGGGCTCAATTTGTTTTTACCAAAAGCATCTTCGATGCTTGGGGTCTCGTTTGGTCTGCCAGCCGGGAACCAAAGGTTCTGTTTGAAGTCTTCCTGTTTGCGTATGTTTCGCTTCAAAGCCTTTTCGCGAAAGCTCTGTGAGTTATGTCTCGGACGGACTGCGCTGCTTCCATTTTCCTAATGTTATCATGTCTGTGACCGGAAAGAGACATGGGGGGCTCCAGTGGGTGACCCGCAGTGAGTCTGTTCGCGACTTGCAGGCGACGGCTCAGTCACAGCTCAAAGCGCTGCGCTTTGGGCAGGGTCAGTCTGCCCTGAAAGTCTCCAAGGTGAATGTGGTTTGGCTGTTGTTTGTGGTAGAGTTGATGTTTGGGTTCCCAGAGGCGGGGTCAGGAAGCAATGGTGGCTCCAAGAAATAGGCGCAAACAAAAGCAAAAACACCTTTATCCTGGGGGCGTTTGCAAATCACAGAGACATATGTCGGGTTGATTGGCGCCACATGGATATCTGTCATATAGTATTACCATATTGTTGCCACGCTCTCAATTCACCCGTCCCAAGGATATTTTTCTGGCTTTCCCCTGAAAAGGACCAAAATTGACTGCAAGCCCACAGGTGTTTCTTGTTCACCGGCGTTGGTCGACTCCAGCGTGTGTGTGGTGGATGTGGACGCTGGTGCTGTGGAGCTGCGGTTCTGCAACTGTATGTGGTGCAGCGGGGGGGGAGCGAGCATTGGATGCGGACGCTGCGGACGACCACGTGGTGCCCGTATCGCGCCGGATCGCTGTCGGTTCGCGGATCAAGCCCCAACAACATCTCTGTCACGTTGCACTGTGTCCAGCTTATGTCAAGGGCTCCTTTGGATGGCTCTCCCGGTTGATCCAATTCATGGAGACTGTCATGAAAAAGAGCGGCTGGAGTTTGGAACGTCTCAGTGTCGCTGAAAATATTTTGTGGTGTTTGCTTTTGGGTTCCCGGGCTCACCTTGTTTTGACATTAACTTGCATTTGCGTTTAGACAACATTCTTCATATAGAAGTGATCATTCCCAAGGACCCAAAGGACAGCTAGCTTTTGAAATGCAAATGTTAGATAAAGCTTTTTGATATAGAAGTGATCTGGGGCCAACATCTGATAAAACCACACAGAAGGTAGGTGCAAGCCGGGGGGATAGCATAATACATATATATATATATATGCGACACGTTTTTTGAAGGGGAGTAGGCCATAGTTGGTATCTAGTAGGAAAAGGTAAGTAGCAGCTGAAGTAGCTCCTAGGCTCCAATGCAGTCACTATTCATGTGATTCAGGAACACCTGGTAAGCAACCAAACCCATAGAGGGCCTTGGTTTTTGGAAGCCCCTGGCATCTGGTGTGTGTGTGTGAAACCTTCTACCTAGGAGCTTCCCATTGCTAGTAGCGTGTTTGACTCAATGAAAGGCGGAAAAAAACAGAGAAAGGACCTCACCAAGGACGCTACTAGGGGCTCCTGGCCTTACTACTAGGAGCAAGAAGCTACGAACGGAGCAAAGGGCATCGCTACGAACCGAGCAATCGGAGACGAGTCGTTGAACCGTTCGACTCGCGCCTTGGAGTGAGAAGTCGGACTGTCAAGCGACCAGTCCCGCAGCCTCTCGTGCATCCTGGCTCTTCTTCTTGACGAAGTCCAACAAATCCTCCCTGTGAACGGACAGAATGAATTCGGTTTCGAAAAAATCCAAGTCTTGTTTGGTTTTGGCTCTGAAAGAATGGATGAAAACGATTACAAACAGGAAAGGAAGCTGGCTGCATAACTTTCGATATGCTGCAAACTGCTGCAAGCTTTTGCAGGAGTGTGAAAGTCACAACCTATCTTTATATAGTCACTATAGTCCAAATCGAAGGAGGGCTGACAATGACCCGGTGGGACGGGGAACAAACTACTTTCGTCCTAGAAATGGTGGAGGGATAATGAACACATGTGGTAAAATGGAAACAGATCGTTCGCAGTGCGCAGGCCTGGTGAAGAAGTCACCGGCAAAGCAAAGGATGTTGTCTGGCTTGTATTCCAAGACCTGCTCAAGACTCGCTATTGGATCACAAAATCGCAGAGTTTCATTTTCCCGACTTAACGTCTAGAACACAAGCACAAAATAGGGTTGAATGGCCTTTTAAAACGCAACACTAAGAACAGCTTGAGTGTAGAACCCATCTGCAGTCGAGCTGAGAAACCAAGCTGTCTCTTCGTGAGCTGTGTGGAACGGTCTTTCATCCCTGAAGAAGCAAAGTTACCACGTCAGCAAGTTACCATGCTTCAAGGAAGCAACCCCCCGCCCTCATGTGGGGGGGGGAGCTTCCTTGAAATAGCGTGAGCTATCCTGCGTCCTAACTCGGAGCTTCCTATTACGCTAGGAGCGTGTTTAGTCCCTTGCTTGAAAGTAGGCGCTCAATTAATTAAGGAGACAGGGCCACGGGCTAGAAGAAAGACCAACATCTGCACTGTGTGCTATCTTACCCTCGTGGCCTGATGCACGAAGACACTGATCATCTCTCGGATCTCAGGGTGAGCCTGAGTGAGTTTCAGCAAAACTAGTTATGCCTCCAACCTAAAGCAAAAGGAACCTAATAGGAATGGCCTCCAACCTAAGAGCGATGGCCTCCAACCTAATAGTTATGCATTCATAATAAATAACAAATCATTATGAGTTCCAGGTACTCGTTTATAAGCTACTAGTAACAAGTGCATCGCTACT